TTATTCCTTGACTCTCTGCAAGAAGCTGGAAGAAAATATTAGTCCTCTGAATTTACTTATCCATCTTACTGTGACAGCTCACCATTGTTGATGACACTGTCACCTCCTGTCCTTACTATATTTTTATGTGCACACATTTTATCTTTTTATTTTTCTCCTGGCCTCCAGAAGTCATAATCTGAATTTTATTTCTCAAACAAGAGAAGGCTTGCATTATACCCTTTAAAAGACCACTTTATCCTTTTAAACCCTCATTTTCAGGCAGTTTTCAATCCCTGGAAAAATTAATATATGGCACAATGAATGTGAACCTTCTCTTTTCTGCTAAATCGAGGACCAGGCTTACAGTCTAAATAACTTGGCATTTTTATTATTTTCTCCTTCGCTCTCCCCAGGTTTATTGCAGTTTCTAATTTAAGTTCACTGAGGTAGCCAGAAACTAGACTACTACGTTTTCAAGAGGATTTCTGTGTGCACTGACCCTGAAGCTTAGAAGTGTGAACCACAAAATATATACATAATGAGACTTTCAAAGAAAAAATTTGTATAGTTTTATTGGACTTTCTGAATATATCCGCCCCTGTGGTGAAAGATGATTACCCTCCTAGGAAACTGCTTAAAAACAAAAAAGTAGAAAAGATAAGATTCCTAGTCTGTCTCTCTCTATGACATATCTAAATCACATGTATTAAGTAGTTTGGAAAGTAAAGTGTATATATTCGTTATAGAACATGAAAATGGTCCGTTTTGCCAAGAGTAGTTTATAAAATGGAAGGAAATGTTTCCAGTGATATAGAAAATGCACAGACTTGCAGAGCCTGGAAGGATTTGTAAAGATCATTGGTCCCAGTGGCAGTGGTCTTTAAGGCATGACCCTCAGTCCTGGTCCTGTGGGGGCACTTCCAGGAACACTGCTGGACAGGGAATGGTGGGGGGCCACCTCACTCCAATCCAAATAGCTCTGCCTTCATCTCCTATACATCGGGCTCTCCTGTTTCATAAAGAAGAACCTTTTCTACAGCTAAAAAAAAGTCTGCAAGCTACCGATAGAGTCCCACTACCCAGGTGATTTCTGAACACCTTCTGTAGACAGATCAATAATAAACTCAGATAAACGCCTAGGTCTGTGCGGTTCTGGATGTTGTTGTGATCCTAATGTGTAACTACAGTAAAGTATGTTTAGGTAACTGTTACTAGTGGAACAGTGTACACAGAAGACCCAACAATGTATTTGAAATTAGAATGTTCGGAACATATTCTTTCACTCCACAGGTGGACACAGGTAATGCGTTTCTCATTGGGTATGAAATCAGATGGCAATAGAGTTATTGGAAGTCTTTGTGAAGTGGTAATTTTAGGTTTGAATATGGTGACAGCAGGTGGAGCTAGTGGTAGGAACTCTGTTTCTAGGTCATTTAAAGAGCAGCAAGATGTGTAAAACTTACATTAATGTGTTTGCATCTCAGAGCTTTAGGAATAGCAAACCATTATGCATTGGCTTTGGAAAGTGATCGTATTACTACAATGTGAGAGCCAAGCTAAATGAAAACTTCTCTATCCTTTTTAGAAAAGGGGCTTGCATTTGCATTTAATGCATTTTTGTGTGTTGTCCTGGAAGATTAAGACAAATTAAGGACAGACGAGGGGAGGGGCAGTGGGAATGTGTTTACATGGCTTAATATTACTTGATGATCCTTAGAGTATTGACTTTAAAAAATAAGGTATGCTTCTGTTTCTCTTCAGATGGAATGAATCTTTTGCCTTTTAAAAAATAAAGCATGTGATCCTGTGGGAAAATAGTGTGAAAGAACTTGATTATATATATAGAGTTATTTATGTTATTAGATGGTTTCTCTTTTTAAGTAGTAATAAACACACAATTGAAATCGATGTACGTTTTCTCCTAGGAAAAACTAAAGAACATTTGCTTTTTATCCCACAAGCTTATGAAATAAAGACCTGACTACTTTATAGCTCCAAATACCAATGAGTTTTCTGAATATGTAATTTAAAAGATATCACCTCTCATGTACTTTTTTTTTTATCGTGAGTCACACATTGAACCATGGAATTGTGCTTTTTTTCCTTATCATTTCCTTATATCAGATGCAATGACAAGTAAAGAGCAAATATTACGCAAGCATTTCTTTTCCCTCTGAATTTTGTTTGCTTGTTTTTTTACTATATCATATGTATTAAGAAATTGAGGTTTCTAGAATGATGATTTATTTTGCTGGCTGTGTGGATAAAAAGTGACCTACTTTTTTGGCATTAGTTTACAGTTATAATATCATTTAAAACACATTTTAAATCTTTTTTGCTGAAAACTAGAAATAACATCTTCCTGTTATTTTATTTACGTATTCAACAAGCATGTAATGAATGCCTACTACATGCCAGGTATCCTGCTAATTTTATACTGGGGATAAAATTTTGAACAATATACAGTGCTTTCCCTCAGCATGTCTCAGGCAGATGAGTGGCCAAATAATTACCATAGGACCCAGTAGATTCTATAATTGTGTTGTGAGCAGAGGGCTGTTGGGTCACAGAGAAGGGACTCAGCTGGGAGAAATCAGAGAAGCCTTCAAAGAAGAGGTAATCCCCTAGTTGCATCTGGAAGGAGATGTAAAAATTCACTTGGTAGGAGGAAGGGCATTCCAGGCAACGTGCCCAACATGTGCGAAGGTATGGAGGTATGAAAGGGCCTATTGTCCTGGGGAAGCATCAAGAAGTTTGCTAGGGGGGCTAGAAAGGTAGACTGAAGCAAGATTGTGAAGGACCTCGTAGGACATGCCAGGATCAGTGAATACATTATTCAAGAGTTTTGACTAGGCTAGACGCTGTGTAATTGATTAGCTTTTGTTGTTCATGAAACTAGTTATGGATTTGATCCTGTGGGAACATGGCGTGATGACTTCAATTTTAACGTCAGCTAGCGGTTTTAAATATGTTCTCTGGTCACAAGGGTGATTTGATGAGCCACATCAATACATATCTTTGCTTTAGGCGAAAAATGCTACATAGACTAATTAGATGTAATACATATTTATTGAGCACATGCCAAGCACTCTGGTAGGTGCGAGGAGATATGTCCTGTTGCCTAGAGTATATCCAGCTGCCTTCTAGACTTTTGCTCTTGGTTGTCTCCAAAGTATCGAACAGTTAATGTATCCAAATCCAACTCTTCATATCACCCCAAATCCTGCTCTTCTGTTAGCTTTTCTCATCTGTTTAAATGATTCATCAATCCACCTAGTACTCAAGCCAGAATCTGGAGGTTATTCTTGACCCCTCATCTGTTCTGAGATAGATCTGGAAACCTTCCACTCCTCTCTGTTCCCTCTCTTGCCAGCACCCTAGCAACCACATCTCTTGCCAATCCCCTCCTCACGAGTCTCCCTTTTTACGTTTTTGCTGTCTCCCCAAATCCTTTTTCAAGACAATAATCAGAATGATCTTTTAAAAATCTAAATCAGATCATGTCACTTACCAATTCAAACCTTTTATTGACTTCCTATTGTAACTTAAACCCAAATTATTTCCTGTGGCCCATAGGGCCTGGGCATTCTAGCCCTGCCCACTTCACCAACCCCACCATGTATTGCTCTCTCTCTCACTACATTCCAGCCACAGTGGCCTTTTTTCATTTCTCCTACTTCCCACCCCATTGCCTTGGCACGTGCTGTTTCCACTGCCTGGAATGCTTTTCTTCCCATCCTTTAGCCAGTTGCTATCGTCTCATTGTTTAGGTCTTAGCTTAAATATTTCTTCCTCTAAGAGATCTCTTCTTCACCACAGTGTACTCTGCAGGATTTTCCCCTTGTTGCACATGGCACAGTTTGTACTTATGTGTATGTTTGCAACTGAACCTGTGTGATCACTGTCTCCCTCGCTAGACCAGTAACTCCTTTAGGGCTGCTGTATGTTCTCTTTTCTTGTCTATTTTCAGAGCTGAACACAGTGCCTGGCACACAGTGGGTCCTAAAGAGTTGTAAAAGAATCATTTAAACACATAAAGATAGATTGACTTTTTTAGTTTCTAATTCTTTAGCGACAAATAAGAAAAACATGGAAAATTAAGAAAACCATTTTCTACATTTTTTTTTTAACCATTGGAACAATTTTAGGAAAGGCATACAGCTCAGTATTAACTCACCAAAAGGAAAAGGGTGCAAGTTCTTAAAAATTAGCACGTGGTTATTGCGTGATTTGGGACTATTTTTAAAACAGAACGATACATTTTTAATGGAAATCCTGGGTTATAAAAATGAACTGCTCTTTTTATATGTTTACGGCTCAATTCACTAAAGTGTTTAAATTCTTGGCTCCACTCTTTAAACCTACTACAAAGATCACATTAGAATTCATTTTAATAGACATTGTAAGCACAGTGTCCAATCTCATATGATCACGCTGGGCTCTTTTATTATGAGAGTCACAGGAAGCGGAGCCGGAGGCTGCAGAACAGTCATGGGGTGTACCCAAGGCTGGGGACGGTGCCAGCTCTATTGTTTATGGGATATTCTCTCCACCTTCATCTGTGGTGTGCAATTGGTATTGACTTTTGAGAAACTACTTCCTCGCCCCAATCTCCCAGTTGGAAAAAAAAACCTGCTGTAATGACATCTGGCTAGGAAAAAAGGGATCAAAGAAGCATAAGGAAAGAAAAATGATGAGACCTTGTTTAATAAGTAGCTTCAGGCCTGTCTGTTGGATCTGTTAGAGGGAAGAGTCTTACACTTTTTCGAGGTGACTGTTCCTTTATCCCCTGGAGGAGCTCAGTGAACTCCAACAGTCTATCGTTTTTGGTATCGATTGCCAGCGTTGGGTCTACTTAGCATTTAGCAAAACATCTTTTCGACTTTTAGATCTTTAGGAATAAGTACTGTTCACCAAAATTAAGGTAAAATTTCTTTGTGATATGTATCACTTTTCATTTATTTTTTTTCCTTAAAGAAGACAGTCATTTTTGGCCAATTGTTTTTTCCTTCTTTTAGGTATATTACTTGAGGAGTTTTTAAATATTGTAAGGAAAAAGAAGGAAGCTCAACTATATTGGAATGAAATAAGACACATCTTCACAGCTTTTGACAGGCACTGTAAGTATCTTCAACCTGTTTTGATATAAAAAAATTGCTATTAAGGAGCTGTGAATGGGAACATAAACTCAGTAAACAGAATAATCAATATGCTTGGAAGATTATTTTACTGTATTCATTAGCTATTACCTTAGATGTTGGTGTGAATTTTTTTTCCTCCATGATAATCTTAAATTCTTGACTTTTACCATGGATGAAATAATATTTATAGTTATATAATTATACTTATGATTTGCCTGCATTGTAATGGGGACAGTGAAAGGGCTGGCCCTGTGGGGATAAAGGTCACGAGTCCCCTACAGAAGTGTGGGAGACCGGGTGGCTTTTTCCTTTGACTCTTGCTGTGACCCACGCGTGTTTTCCCACACGGGGTGTGGCTGAGGGGAGTGGCTTCAGACCTCCTACACCCCACAGATCACACACAGGGTGAAAAGACTCGTGGAGTCCAGGTTCATGTCTTGGCTCCTATTTTGATTTCCCTCTAAATATTAATATATTATCATTTTAATACCAAGTAAGAAAAAAAAAGTGAATTTCAAAGAATAAATTGTTTTGGCAATTCACAAAGAATTGAAGCTTAATGGCATGATTGCAGTGTATGTCTCTAGAGTCCTTTCTGTGGGACTCAGAGAATCAGCAAACGGTAGGGCTGGAAGTGACCTTCGAGATCATCTGGGGCTGTACTGAAGGAGAGTATTACTGGATTCTTAAATTCTTCCATGAGACTATCTCAGATTACCTTATATGTGAAATGAACTAAAAATTACTGCTTTTCTCCTAGTATTGTATTAGCTTCACACAAATATTATGGCTGAGATAACAGTTCGTAGAGTTTATAGAAGTAAGTGAATGTTTTATGTTTTGTTTTCAAATAGATCGTGGATATTTAACTTTGGAAGATTTCGAAAAAGCATTTAGGCAGGTGGCTCCCAAGTTACCAGAAAGGATTATTCTCGAGGTATTCAGGTAAGGCACCAAAATCTCTACGTACACCCGCCCCTTGATTTACCATTCACTTTTACAAGTTTTCAGGGTTCTGGAGAACACTTATTTATGCAGATTTTTCACAAATGAACATTTCATCTCACAGCATACGTCATGGTCCACGTGAGAAATTTATAGATGGCTCTTAGCCCATCCATACCCTTGACAATGGGGTGCCTGCACACCAGGGAGCTGTATAAACACATTTGTTGGTAAGAGTAGGGGAGGAACAGGAAGAAAGTAGAACTTCTTTGTATATTTATATATTGACCAAATAAAAGAAGCTTTATTAATGTTTAACATGGATGCTGGTGTTCTCTGTGGTCTGTATTTCATCAGATACAGGTTACACATGGTTCTTGAGTTGTCTGGAGAGAAGAGTTGAGGTTGCTTAATGGTGACCCTCTCGTTCATTTGCTTTCAACCTTATTGATACATGTTGCGTTTCACACATACCTGATAAAGTAGATTTAAAGGTTTTATTATGTTTTTATAAACCAATCCTAACAAATGAGCAAGTGGCTTAAAAGCAGTTTCTGTTAGGAAACTGCAGATTGAAGGTGATATGAATAGTGCAAGCACATGCTGACGTGAGAAAATGGCAGAGCTGACTCTTCTGTGACTCAGCATGACCGCTTCGTGAGCCCCGTTACCAGGTGTATTAATTAGGACTGAATACAATAGCAAGAGACAGAAAACCCAAAATAGCAAAGCTCAAAAAAGAGAGCATTGTACTTCTCTCTCACATAAACACAGGCAGTCCTGGGCTGATTTGATGGCAACATAGTCACGAAGGACCTGGATTCCTCCTTTCTTGTTGTTCTGGCTATCTCAACACCTGGCTTCTGCTTCTTGCTTCAAGATGGTTGCTTAGGTTTCAGCCATCACATCTGAATTCCAGCTAGGTAGGGGGAAAGGGAGCAGAAGATATGCCCCTCCTTTTAAGGCTATCCATTATTTCTGCTTACATCCCAGTGACCAAAACTTTGTTCCAAGGCCATGTGTACTTGCAGGTGGGGTGGGGGGCTGAAAAATGTGGTCTTTGCTCTGGGCGGTCATATGTACTCTAATGGAGTTGGCTGGTACTGAGGAAGAAGGAGAGAATGGATATTGGGGGACATCAGGCAGGTGTTCCCATTTGGGATAAAAGTACTTTATTAATGAAATCTGACCAGACGCCAGCCCTGCTCAGAAGAAATTATCAGGCAGGTTATTTGAAGTAAGGATTTGCACTCACTGACGTTGACAGTGACGTACATGACATTCTTTTGCTGCATCATTCACAAGCAAGTTATTGAGCAGCTATTGAAGGAGAGCAAAGGAGTTTAAGCCAGATGCAGACAAAGTGCTAGAGGACAGTATTACTTAGTTGATTGTGGAACAGCAAGTTCTTTAAAATACAGTAGCATCTTTGTATACACTTTGTGATGAGATGACTAAGTCAATGTATTTCTACGTTGTTGTTTTTAACTTGTTTTTTTTTTTTGGTGAGGAAGATCAGCCCTGAGCTAACATCCATGCCCATCTTCCTCTACTTTATGTGGGACGCCGCCACAGCATGGCCTGATAAGCGGTGTCTCCCTGCGCACCCGGGATCTGAACCCGGGCTGCCAGCAGCGGAACGAGCACACTTAACTGCTACACCACGGGGCTGGCCGCCTGTTTTTAACATGTTTTAACATGGTTGTTTTTAACAAAAGAACGAAGACTTGATACTCATTTTCCTTTTACAGAAAGATAAGTGTCCAAATTTGTTGACCTTTATGTGTTAAACGGTTTCAGTAGGTGCTACCTCATGGAGATTTTTGAAAAATAGACTTAAATATAGCCTTCAGGGTAGAAGCAATGTTTTAACAATGAGTGAGGAAGTAACTGCTTCTCAAGAGAACCTATGGTACCAGGAGAGCATTTTTGAAAATGAATGTTTAGAAATGTGATTGTTTTAAAAAATGATGCGTGTCACCTATCAAAACCCTTCACATGTGCATGTTCAATACATTGAAAATGGAATGTCCTAACCTGGTGAAAAAAATCTTACAAAGTGTCAGTGCTTTTATAACTCAAGTTTTAAAAATATAAAAATACAATAGCTTTAATAAGTTTTCAAGAGCAACTAATTGATATCAGGAGAGATGGACATTTACTAACTGAATTTTTTTAGCAATGAAAACAAAATGATGATTAAGAAAACAAAACAACCCCCCTAAACCTTTTCATTATTGGATGATGGAATTAAAAACCAAAGGATTTAGTGCCATGTTGCCCTTTTCCTGTTTAGATCTACAAATCTTCACGAGGCGTCTCTGACAGCCATTGAAACCAAGTATGTATTAAAACAAACTGAACTTTAAATTGCTCAATCACAGAAGATTAAACCAAGATGTTCTGAAATAATAAAGTATATCAAATTGCATTGTTCTTATTAAATATTATTAATTATTTCTAGTGACGGCAAAAGTTATTTTTCATCAATAAATATTTGTATATTTAATTCTGTAGATATTTCTATGTTATTTCTGTTAGATTTTATAATATACATTATGTATTAATACAGTAACACATTTGCATATAATCTATAAGTATATTCATATGCCCACGAATCTTGTACTTCCCAGGATTGTGTGGTCAAAACAGTTGGGAGATCACTACGATATGCAGCCAAACAAGGCATTTAAGTTAATTGAACATGCCCTGTTTAAACTCTCATTTATAGCACCACAATCCCTAGACCAGGATAAATGATGCATAGTAAGTATTAAGTGAAATAGTGAAACAAAAAAGGAGAGGAAAGTATTTCCTCTAAGGGTAAATTGAAGTAGGGCAAAGAAACAGAGATGTCTAACTTCCACACATCTCTCTTTCAGTGGTACAAACAATTTTCAAGAATCAGGAAAAGAAAATCAGCTGCTGAGGGTGTTAGTGGTGCAGAATTACATGATGTTTCCAAGGTTAGACACTCACTTTTTGAGAAACTTGAGTAGCATTTGACTTAAGTGACCAGCATGAAAGGAGTTCATTACCCAGGTCCACGATTACCTGGGAGAGAGCTGGTATCTGAAGACCAGTGTTAGAAGGCAGCTAGAGAGGGAGACTTCCAGTTAGACCAGAGTCATCTGGGGTTTGAATGACTGAAGAAGCTTTCATAGTCTTCAACTCTTTGACTGACAGATTCTTCCCAAAGAAACTTCTAAAAATCAAGAGTAGTCTCTTTCAGTACTTGCCCATATTACACTTCCATTTACAAGCCAACCACAACGATAAAACCAACCAAACAACCAAAACAAACAATCCAGAAAGACAGACGTGGGGCATAAGGTGTTCATAAAATAATTTCATTTCATAACATGAAGGAAGCACTGGTGTATCATTCATTACATCTGAGGGCATTACAAGAACTAAATGAGATGTTTTTATAAGGTTTGTGAATTGTTGCCTAACTACTCTGGTGATGTTTCCTTTACTGATTTTATGGTGAATAATAGCAATGTGATTTTTGAGAATATATATTGTCAGGGTTTATAACATTCCCTTTCTGTTCTGCAGTCATAATCTCTCTTGTTTTAGTCTTAGTCCTACGGTTACATGGATTCAAAGCTCACCTCCAGGCTTTGTGCCATAGTTTCTGCTCAGCTGAAGTTTATCCTCTAGTAGGGGTCATAAAAACTATTCTCTGGTGTCTTTTATGTTCAGAAATGTTTATCTGGGCCATTGTCCTTGAATAAAAATATATAATGGATTGAATGTTAACATTTTCAAGTCACTTTCTTTTTCTTTGAGAATGCTGATTATGCTTATGTTGGAAATCCTTTTACATTTTTATTAATTTCTGTTTCATTGTCTGCTTTGCTCACGATGTCTCTTTGTATATTTTCAGCAGTATCTATTCTCCTGTGTGCTGTGTCCAATGTGGCTTTTTGTTTTTCCTGTTATGGTTTTATTTTGCTCTTATATTTCTTTCTTGAGCTATATCTGCTGCTGTTTCATTTCCTTTTGTTATTTTGCTGTAACATGTTATTTTATCGTATCTCCCCAAGCCTTTCTATATCTACTTTCAACTCTTGTTTTATAAAGGTGTTTGCTTTATTAGGGGAAACAATGATTTGATTTTTTTGTTTTTTTTTGGTGAGGATGATTGGCTCTGAGCTAACATCTGTTGCCAATCTTCCTCTTTCTGCTTGAGGAAGATTGTCTCTGAGCTAGCATCTGTGCCAGTCTTCCTCTACTTTGTATGTGGGACTCCGCCACAGCATGGCTTGATGAGCAGTGTGTAGGTCCACTCCCAGGATTTGAACCCATGACCCCTGGGCCGCTGAAGCAGAGTGTGCAAACTTAACCACTCCGCCACCAGGCCGGCCCCATTGATTTTTGAGATTTTATTTTTAGTGGGTGGTTTGCTTGGGGCCTGCTAATTATAGCTTTTTTCATATAAATTAAGGAAAGCAAGTTTTCTACCAAGGGAAGGGTTTTAGGGAACAAGTTACTTTCTTAAACCAAGAGATGATATGTTGTGCAAAAAGACAAACACAAAAATTGGTACTGGTTTCTGTTATCTCTAAAGATACCGTAAAATGTTAAATATTTGGATTTCAAATTTTGAGATTCCTTTCAGTGTTTCAAACTTTGCTTTCCACTTAGAGCTGATAATCATGATTTGTGTATTTGTACTGAAATAACTGAGTCTATATCAAAGATGATGTTTCATTATTATTCAGAAGTTCTTAGGGAATTCTTTTCTTGAAGATCTTTTTTTTCCCCCTACTCACTACAGATGGTAGAAGTATGAGAACTGAATGGTGCTGTTTGTACAATGGGATGAATATGAGATAATAGGCTGTTTCTAGCACTAAATGGTTAAGACAAAAAACATCTTTACTCTTTAATATTAATAGAACTTACTGTAAATTTTGTAGTGCTTTTTTTTTTAACATTCAGAAATCTTCAGTGCCTTTAATGGGTAAAGTTAAAACTATTTCACCTGGCTC